TTTTATCATCACTTAATGACTCACGAAATTTCATGATCGTGTAATCATTTTCCTGCGTCTTTTCTAAAAATTTTCGGAAATTCACAAAACTTTAGAAAAAATGGAGGAAAATGATTGCACTACCATGAAACTTCGTAAGTCGGTCAATAATGATAAAACACAAAAACGGTATATCATTTCGCGTCAATCCGATCAATAATTTGCCAGAACAATGAAAAAAACGTGAATTTTGGCAGAAAGGGTGTTGTACATCCTTAAGTGTGTCGGTATATAGGAGTAAAAATATGAGGGTTAGACAATGACAGTCAGAGCATAAGAGTCAACAGATGAGATTCAGAAAATAAAAGTCAGGAAATGAGAGTGAGAATGGAAGGTCTTATTTTTTAACCCTCAGTTTTTGACCCTTAAATTCTAACTCTCCCGTTTAGCGTTAAAAGATAAGAATAAAAATATCAGGAGATGCCGTAGCGTCTTTCGCCAAGTACGCGCCCATAACAGAATGGGGCACACGCGAGAGTCGACCGCACTCCACACACACAGCTAGAGTAGGTCACCTAAAATTCAATAATTAATTACCGCATAGATAACGCTTTCAGGACACGATTTTTTTTCTGAGCATAATTTATCCTCTTCTCCAATATTAGAGAAAAAAATTGTTTATGCAAATTTGAATTTTTTAAAAATAGTCGCCCTCAAAGTTTGTCCATCTCACATCACATGAAAGTTTTGTGACCATTGTAGTGGTGGTAGTGCGCGCACGGCCGCAAGTCCGTGTGGTCCGAAAAGTGTGCGTCCGTCGGCTACGTTACGACTGTGGACATAGTAAATGTATGGTCTCACAGATAAGATGCAAATTGCAGTTTAGCGGCGCTACTATCGCTCGAAAAAAAAATATATATATATATTATTTATATATATATTGTAAGGATATTTTCCCGGGTTGTTCACCCAGGAAAAATCCAAACTACTTTTTAGCCGTCTCTATCGCTCAATAGTCGGGCGCCAGCCGAACCTTCACGGGAGGTTCGACGAAAACCGGCCTCTGAGGCAAACTCGTCCACTCAGAGGACTTTTTGGCTGGACAATGGGTTGCCTAGCTAACATCAGCGTGATACGGTAGAATGGGCGAGGTCCACCAGGAGTATTATCACCACATCCTCACGAGCCTTTGCAAGCCGTGTATTATACCTTACGACATAACTTCCCATAATGAATTCAATCCATGACCTTCTGGAGAGTGTTTCGACTCTGCCAGTGTTCATTCTCCTCCCGAGTATTTCGACTCGGGGGAGTTTTCAGAGTCAAATGCGAATCAGCCAGGACTCCTCAGAACCTGGAACTCCGAGAGGCTGATCCGACCAAAGTGGAACGCTGTTACCCACTTCGCGACCACCCACACTCTCGGCCACCAGTTATCGCTTCGGTCATCGCTCGTCACCGTCTCCGGGTACTCGAATGTCGGCACATGGTCGGGTCGACGGGCGGACGATCTCTACTCCAGACCCACGGGCCCATGTGCTCGGCATTTGTTTCGCCGAGCCGGATAACGCCGGAAACAACAAAGTCTTCACTTTGTGTGCCGAAATAACTCCTTTTTTACTAGTGTGGGATGCCGGAGCATCCCCCTACGCTCGGCGCCAATGGTTATTCACCGAGTCTACGTGGAGTCCGAAACTCCTTATCATGGCTTCTTCAGCCATTCCACAATCCAGCACACCGAGAAATTATTTCAACCTCTCGGTTCAAGCGCTCGCATTCGACTAACACAGAATCTTACTAGGGCCTTCTCCCCCTAATCTGGATATCTCAGCGACGATAGGTCATTCTGTTACCCTATCCCCACCAATCAACCCGACGAGATCCCGGGGGCACAAGTCCTCTCACCTGGCCGTTGGTCCCTAGTCTACTATGTGTGATGTCTTGACGCTGATTTTGATGGTTGGTAGCAATGATCAGCCATCTTTGTCCGCGATATTCAAATTAATATAAAAATTTAATTAAATAACGTAAAATCTTTAAATACTGAGAAAAGTCGAGAATGAAAGGACAATGAACAGGGGACGAAAAACAACTTCGCAGGCGTGAGAAAAACCGTTGCCGGAAATAATAAATGTCAAGTACTTGAGTTTACTTTGTAAATTTACAGCTCTCCAAAATTCCTCAAAACAATACTGTTCTTGAAATTCTGAAATATAGAGAGAAAATAAACTCGACGGTTACGGTCGTAAAATTGTTAAGTCTCGGTTCTGAGATATTTAGAAAGTCTCTCTGATTCACGTGTTCCACACGTGTTGAGTGTTGAGTTCTCCTTTGTTCATTGTATCGCGGAGCTGAAGGGCCTGAGACCCCTCAAGAGGGAATACTGTTGACGTCACACGCTCCCCTTTCTCCCTCTTTCGCTTCCCGATTTCTCTTTTAAGTTACCCCTCTTCCCTTTACTCCGGGCCAAGATTGCGCGCGCAACTTTTGGTCTAGTGGGGGTGTATGGACCCAACCCTTAGATTTTTAGTTTAAGTTAGAGACAGTCCCATCGTGGCTGTTGTTCCGACAACTGTTCCAGCTTTTCTCTTCGATTAGTTTTTCTTAAAGTTTTCCATAAAAGTTTTATCAAGTGTATTTGTCTACCAAAGATTTCAAGTTTAAATTAGAAGTTTGAAATAAATAGTGTTAATGTGCTCTCCTAAGCACTAGTGTTTTGATTTATTCTGGAATACACCTTCAACCCATTTATTCAAAAAATGAACGAGTCAACATCGATGGAGTCCTCATCAGGGGTTTAGCGGCTAACGGATCCACATTTCGAAGTTTGGCGCTCGTTATTTCAAAAAGGTGCCACTGTCATCCTAGTAACATTGCTAGGACATAACATCTGACATAGCCTATGGAATCGCCCAGTTGGACAGCCTGTACGTCGGCCCCTTTTCCCCTAGCATATGCTGGGCGAATTCCAAAATAGCGATACTCTAGTAACGTCCTCCAGCCCTCCAGGGGTCGGGGTTTCACCCATAACCACTATGCCTTAGGTCTTTTATCGGTTTGTGATTCTTCTCATCTAGTCCCGGCTTCTTCAGCCGCCTCTAGATGTCGCTTACTGTCTCAATTTTAGAATTCACTCATCTTTTTAAGGGGATTTCAATCCGTAACGAGAAAATCTCGTTACAATATATATATATATATATATATATATATAT